TGCTTTTGCAAATGCAAATGATGCTCTGTCACTGATGTCATAAACAATGATGAATCCATCAGCCCAGTGGAGCTCATCTGTGAGGGAAAGCTTCCCCTGCTGTGGGTGAAAGAAGTTCAAATTCACATGCAAAAATATCATTACTGTTGTCACTCTTGAGTATTTTCTTTGTCTTTGTGAATGCAAGAATACTGTATCTTTCACTGCAAAAGATATGAATAGATGATATGGATGCTTGCATTGAATTCAGGTGAGTCTTGCTCCAAAAACCCATTAATAACCATCACTACAGATTGCATTTTGGAGCACTAAAGAATTCATTATGAAATACCTTTGCTTTGTTTAAACAGTGAAATTGCATTATCTGTACAGACTGTATTTCCAGCAGACATATGTTGAATATTCTGAAGTTACAGGAGAATTAAATGCAGGCCATTTGTGTCTGTGATTATGGCACTGTTTTGTATGCTTCTAGTTGCCTGACCACAATGAACTTAACTAATTTATTAAAAGTCCTTTGTTCCAAGTCATTTCTCATTTTTTCTTTGTATTATTCAAGTCTGAAGCAGTACCTACTCACGGGATAGATTTCCACGGGGCTTGAAAATTTTCCTTTCTAGCTGCCATTGACTTAAATTCCACAAGTGACAGAACTCACACAAAGTGATACTGAGAGTTAGTATTTGGGTCTTTTCACATCAAGGAAGTGTCACTGTCATAATTTCTAGAAAGCAACAGCTGCAAACTATCCCATCAACAAGGACCACATGACCCAAGATGGGTAGAATAGGCCAGCCTAGACTTGACCATGTGCTTTATGGAAAACACACTGGACAGTAACTTGAGGACTGCTTAAGCTGAATTAAAGCTGTGCTCTTTGTAGTGTATAACCTTCATCAGTGTCCTACCCTGGTTGCCTTGATTAGTTCAACACCAAAGCAGCATCATAAATGCAACTTACTCTATATGATGGATGGTAAGTGAATGTTGGCAGAGCATCACGTTAAGGGGCAGGAAAGGTGACTTGTGTATGATGGCTGTTTGCCAGATGAAGAGACAGAGAATGCTGCAGAGCAGGAGTTTAGCTACCAGACAGAAGCCTCAGAGAACAGCAAGATTTCAGGAAGCGGAAACAAATGTGAATTTTCCTTTCCCAGCTTGGCCTCCTCTCAGGACCTGTTTTTCTTCCCCATAGGAATTCTATATGCCATCTGTCTCTTTCTAACATCAACAATTCATACCGATAAAAAGGCATTACCACCACCTCCTCTCCTGCCCATCACCTATTTAGTCCTCTACAGGTCTCTCTCTACAGGAAATGAAGAAAGAAAGACTCAAGGCAGCGAACAGTGAGCATTAGGCCTTGTTACTAAGGAAGAACTGGCAGCTAGAAGAGGACCAGCAAGAGGAGTTGTCCTCAACACAGTTGATCTCCAGTCTCCCTGAAAGCAAAAAGGGAGCCCAAGGGGAAGCAACCAAACACTCCACCCTCAAGTAGTCTAGTCTAGTTCAACACAGCAAGCTACTACTGTCACTGTTTCAAGTATGCTCACATGCCACAGGATTTAATATGACGGTAAATAGAAGTTAGAAATGGGCTTAGGAAAGACGACCGAGATATGTGGAAATGACTACAGAAAAGTAGCTTTGAAGAGGGATTGCAATGACAAGGGAGGGCTCCATTGAATATATTAACAAGGCACAGTGCCTATTTCAGGATCTGCTTTGCTGTTGCTTGTCTTTAAGAAGAAAAGAAGTAGATCTGTTTGTAAGTTATTTTATGTGCTCACCGTGTTAACATTTCTTAAGTCACTGATTTCAAGTTTGAGCCAAACTTCCAGTGCTTTGGCTTTAGCACTCATTATTCTGGTCAGTGAGAGGCAGGATCACTGTCCAAGAGGGATTTCTGTAAACTAGCAGAGACAGGCCTACCTAGATCCATTTGCATTATATGTTACCAAGGCTTATGCGTATCAGAAACAGAAGGAAAGAAATTAATACAAAAGAGTCTTCATTTGAGGGTGGTTTACTGTGATCAAAGTTTATCTGCCAACATATAGATGCTTGTATTATGGCTCTCCTTGTCTGTTCTGTGAATGTAAGTCTCATTTGCAGACTTACCTACTTTGATAATTTCCACAGCCATTTAATATACAGTTTGCCTTATTAAAAAATAAAAAAATAACAAAATCCACCTGTGTAGGAAATTTAAGAATTTTTTTTATACTCCTATAATTGTTTGCTGTATTTAAATATTCAATATGGAAGTGGGGAAGATTAATTAATATTAAACATTCCAAAATGCAGAAGTATTTACAGAAAAAAATAAAGGATTTGAGTGTTTCTTCCATGAAATGGGAAGGTGCACATTTCCTGAACCACAACAAATATAAAGTTTGTGTCTTTCAAAAGAAAAAGTGCAAGAATAAATTACTAGCACAGAAAGAATGTTTACAACCCTTTTTAACCTCACACAGGTAGAATGAGGAGTAGGGGTTTTTTTGTCCCCTGAAATTCTTACCTGTGAACAAGGATCATAAATTTCCAAGTGTATCTGCTTCCCATCCAGACAAAAGTGTTTAGTGTAGATGCATTCTAAAAAAAAAAAAAAAATAAATGTGGCATTCAATAAGAAGCAGCACTAGAGTGACTGGGAATGGTGGTGAATAAAATGTGATAAAGGGAAGATAATACTGAAGAGGCTTTTTGTTTGTTTGTTTGTTTACAGTTTTTTGTTTGTTTGTTTGTTCATTTTTTTAGCTGGAAACAATCCCACTTCATTTTGCACCACCTGATCTGCCCAGTCCATTGACCAACCAACACCATTTCACTGTGGCATTCCCAGGAAAGCAATGGTGTGATTAATACTTTTAGACCCTAGATTTCTTCTCAAAGACAAATACATAACACAGTCCTCAGAAACAGTTAAGTCTTGATGATTACTGTAGTGGAAATGCTAAGTCATGGCTTGAACCCAGTAGGAAGGCAAGGCCAACCCATGATGCTCAGGTGGATGCAATCCACATGAGTGACTGGAAGGGGTAGAGCCAGCATCCATTCCTTCCCAGACCTCATTTAAGGGTTGGCAGTGGAGGCAAGGGTATCTTGCTGGAAATCCCTGTGTATCTGAGGCCTTCTCAAGGTAAGCAGATTTTCTTACTTTTTTTCCTGTGTCCCCAGCTGCTGCAGCCCAGGACTACTATACTGCCATTGCTACACTTGCCATCTCGTTACAATTACTTATTTTTGAGGTTCAGGATTATAAAAGCGGTAAACTAGATTACTGACATTTGGGACTTCAGTAGTATATGTAGTATCGGATCAATACTTACAGGATAATGTCCTTAGCCTAAATCCTAAAACATTTCTGTAGTGTCAGCTCTCTGATTAAAGATTCTCTGGCAGCACAGCAGCTCTGAGAACCTTACTGCAGCAAGATATTCATTGCTGTTTTAGACAGTAGTTTGTTCTATGAGAATACAACCAGCTTGTGTTCATAGAGCTGGTTGTCAACAAGTTTTCTACAGTGTAAATCCTTCACGCTACTGAGGTACAGGAACAAGAACCAGTGTTGGCACTACTGAAAATACCCTTCAAAATGCATATAAGGAGGGTATGGTTAAGGGCTATGATGTCTGGAACCAAACATCTTTGGTTCAGCATTATATTCACATCAAGTATTCTTCTTTCACTCTTAAGAGCTCAACTGATAATGAACTATGATCCCCAAACATCTTAGGAATCAAAACTAAGCTCCTTGGTGATTTCCATAACTAAACTTTCATTATCACTACTTAAATCCCACTATTCAGTTCTGCAGTGCTATGTATTCTATCATACCTTTTCTTTGTTTTTAGCTCCTTTTTTCCCTTCTAGAAATTGAGGGGAAACTTTTCTTCCAACATTTGTTCACAAATACAAAATGTTTTCAGTGTTTGCAAGTCTCAGAAAATACATGTACTATCAGAGGCCCAGGACAAAGGAATTTGTTCAGAGTTCTAGGTGATGTAGAACATGCATGGACAGCACTACACATCTGCAAGTAAAAGCTTAGGCTTAAATGAATATTTGGGACATTAACAGCTTTTCAAGTCTTGGCGTAAGTAACTACAGTAGTAGAACACTTCTGTGCAACTGTAACCTTACTTTCAGACTAAGTTATTTTAGATGTATAACTGAAATTCAGTTTCTTAGTATTACTTTAACCTTTTTGTTTATTCTGGTTTTTGTTTAAAACAAGTTTTTGGAAAGAAAAAAATCCTCTAGCAGAGAAAACAAGATAGACTGTAATCCACTTGACTTGTTAAACTCTGGGCCTTCTTGTGCCACACAACCGGAATAGCACAATTCCAGGGGTGCTTGTGTATCAGTTCAATAGTTCTACTGCTTCTACCTAAACCACGAAAGTTCAAATCCTGTTTTGCAATCTTCCAAGATCTTAGGAGTGTCTTAAGTGTGTTTATTCTGATATGAATGAGAACTTCTATCCTCAGCATGGCAAGACTTGTCACTAAGCTATCAAAGCAGTGCAATCCTGCAGAAGCAGGGGACTTTGCATCACACTTTGATTAACCAGCAGTGCCTGATAAACAGTATTTCACCTCTAGAGCGGGTAAGGAGATACTAATAGAAGAATGTTATGATTTTTTTTTTTTATTTTTTTAAATCTACTTCTTTCCTCTCTATCTCCTCTCTGATGGAGCTTACTATAATCTACACGAGCTCGCACACAGCTCGGTTATCTCTCCCTCACAAGCCCTTCACAGCCGCCTCACGAGGAGCTTGTCACCAGACTGAAGTTGGAGACGATCCCTGAGCAGATACCCGGTTCGCCTTCCCTGGCCTGCAGAGTCGACGTCTGGCCGCCAGCCCTCACTGATAAACAAGCTAAAACTTCAGTGTTTCCAAAAAGTTGTGTGCAACTATTTTTTTTTTTTTTTTTTTTTTTTTTTTTTTTTTTTCCCCCTTCGCTATGTCAAGAACCGTTCCACCGCCCCGCTGGCGCCGCGCCCCGACGGCCGCCCGCTTCCCTTTCCCGGAGCCCGGCGCTGCTCACCGGCGTTGGACGCGTACTCTCCGATGAAGCGCCGGGTCAGGAACCGCACCGCCAGCGCTGCGAGAAGGAAGGAAGGAAGGAAGGAAGCAGCAGGTGAGCGGAGCGGTGCCCGGCAGCCCGAGGCGAAACCGGGCTGGGGGTACCGAGCCCGCCCCTCTACTCCACTCCTCCCCCTTACCCGACTTGCCGGCCCCGCTGCAGCCCAGCACGGCCAATTTCACCTCGCTCATGCCGCTCCCGACGCTCCGCCGGGCCGCAGCCCTCCAGTAACAGCGCTCGGCGCTGCCGCTACTTACGGCTCCCGGGGACTGGGGGCGGGAGGAGGGGCTGAGATTCGCCGCTTTCCCGACGGGCGGTCCGCCCCCGGCGTCTCCTCCATCCCCACAGCCTGTGCAAACTTTTCTCCTGGCAGCTCTTCCTGCCTCCTGGTGTGGCCCACGATGTCCGCTTCCCGGCCCCAATGCTTTGTCGGGGGTGGAGGTGGTGTGTGTGGGGGAGGGAGGAGGAAGAAAAATAAAACTAAACAAACGAAATACAGAGGAAAAAGAAGTTCTCCAGCTCTGCATCTGGGGGTGTTTGTTTTGTTTCCAGGTCGCCATCCTTCCGTGCCAGGAATGTGAAGAAAATGGAGGGATTCCCCCCTTTCTCCCCATGCCCCTTTAAATGCTTCTGAGGCAATTTGCTGAGAATAACTGTTTTTCACTTCTCTACTGTTCAGCCTCAAAAGGTTTCCAAGCTCTTGTCGCTCACTAAACCTTTACTTGTAGGCAAATGTGCTTTTTGTGTGTATGAGGACTTTTACTCCTTAAATCAGTCTGGTAAAGAACTTAAAGTTTTCTGCTGAATGGAGCTTAGGTAAGGCTTACAGCACTCCTCTGCTGTAGAGAAATGTGACAGAAGTACAGAGAGCACCAAAGGGCCAAACCCACTTTTGCAGTATTGCAAACAAAAACTTTGTTCTGCTCCACAAGTGCTCTCTAAAGGCTGTTTGAATGTGCACTTGAGAATAACTTTAGTTATCCCACTAGTAAACAGGAGACTACTCTAGTACACAAGTTATGTAACTACTCTGTTCCCATTTATTTTATTCTGTTTATGTAAATTGAATATGTTTGTTTAGTCTTTTTATTCTGTTCTGTTCCAACATTGGCTCTGTATAAATGCTTCAATAAATCCTTCTTCAGCATACTTGCTAGCGGCTATTATGAGAACCAATTGTGTCCGTAGCTTTAAAAAATGAGTCAGAGAAGGAATTTGAGAATACTTTTTCTACAGTTCAAGAGAATGCTTAGTAGAGGTAAATATATTTAAGAATAAGACATGTATAGATAACAGACATAACTTGGCTCCTAAGTCCCTAACTTACAAGATGTTAACAGCTGGAAGTGTGTTCAGGGGATGCAGGGGATGTCCCTACCTATTTCTGTGGGTGGATTTTTTTCTTGATTTGTGTGGGTTTGTTTTTGGTGTGTTTTTTTTTTGTTTGTTTGTTTGGTTTTTTTTTTGTTTGTTTTTTTTTTTTTTTTTTTGTTTTAGTTTCCTGCTACTGTTCACTGACAAGACAGATGTCTAAAAAGAACTGTAGTCTCACCTTCTATGGCTATTGTAACATTAGCGTTTGAAATGGATACTGACATCATTAGGCTAAAGTTACTAATAGTATAACAACACAACTGAGTATTTTATCACTTCATACACATCGACAATTCTGCAGTAGGAAAGTCTGAGTGCTTGCCCTTGGGCACAATGCTGTGTCTTTCACAGGTGATTTTAAAGGAATGGTTCTGCTGTTCCTTTTGGGCCGTGGTGAGATGTGTGAATGTGGCTTTCTCACAATTGGCAAATGGGCTTCAGTTTCTGCTGGAGAATGTACAAATAGTCCCTATGTTAATGAAATGCTGATTAATGCACTTTTAACCCCTGTAAGTGGTCCATTCTACAGGAGAACAGATTGAAGAAGAAGTGGACTGACAATACCTTCTTCTGGTTGTCATTTTCTTGATGTTTTTACTCCTTTCTTTGTCATAGCAATGTTGGCTTCTTATGATTCTGTTGCTCATTCTTGCCTCTGTGTCATGGTGAGTCAGGACAGCTCTTTGTGCAGGTGGGCTGTGAATGTGATTTGGGAAATCATAACATTATTTTTCACCTCAGTAAATTTAATGTCAGAATTGGAGTGGAATGGAGATTTCCCAATAGCTGAAGGAAGACTCAAGCCTATTTCAGACACTGCTGCAGTCAAGCGCGGGCAAGTGAAATGAGAAAATGAGAGGCTTCAGAGTGCAGTAAGCTCAACCACCTCTATTAAGAAAGCTGCAGCTTGTTCAAACTCAATTGCTGCAGTACTGAATGTTTCAGTCAGGATGCAAATTGTACAAACCCAAGTTATACCCTGGGCAAAGGATATAAAAAAAGGAATTCAGCTTTCCTTTTTTTTTTTTTTTTCCCATTACTTGTTCTTAACTACATTGACACTTTCACACGTGTAGGTAGCAGCTGTGATAACCGAAGCCAGAGTGCTGCCTGTGTTGGAGACTTTGCTGCTTAGAACTTTTATTTCTGTTAGAAATAAATAAAAAATCTTGAGAGGAATGAGAATATGTTTTGCATATTTCTTAAAGCATTAGGTAAATTAAGTTTAACTGAATATTAAACAAGGACATTTATTTTCTGAGACTTTTTCCGTCACTTCTTAGAACTAAGTGAAATTGAGAAAACATGGTGGAAGGAATTCTTGAATATCCACTCCAAATGAGTTTCTTATGAGCTTTTTCTATTAGCTTTCTTTTATTGCTATTGTGCCTGTTGTTACATGTATATACAACAAGGTATTCCTGAATTGCTCTGCGCATAGAGGGCACATCTTTAATTCCTTTTATGTGAGCACTCACATGAAACTGAAATGCAGTGGTTACTCATCCATGAGTGAACAGACCAATCCCTGTCTAAATAATGTCATTTTTGACATTTCAAAATGAAATTAACACATTTCTTGATCAGCTTATCGAAACACTGAATAATAATGTTTTGAAGGAAGGTATCATCTTTTAGAAGAAATGATACAGTGTAAACACATCTTTTGGAATTATTTGCCTACGTCTTTGTAGCTGAACATTATGGCAGATGCAGTAGTGACACCTGTCTAAAATGCCTCTCAGAAAGTTGCTTGCTTTCTCTATCTGTGCATGCTGCCCTCTCATCTTCCTCACTAGAGCTGTTTTAGATGAAAACAGTGCAGCTTAAAAATAAGTCACTTTCTTTCCTTGTTTTGTGGGGTCTGTGTGTGACTGGCCTTCCCTGCAACTTGTACAACTCTCGAGTTTTGTTCCTTCCAGTACCAAGTGTGTGCTGTCCCCTCCTCTGTACTGGATTGATTGTGTTTTTGTTACCCTGGCCTTATAGGTGTAGAGGTGAAACAAAAAGAACTAGTTCATCCTCCTAGTAAACAGAAGCTTACGGGTTGTTTTCAGATCTGGTGGTCACAAATGAGTCAGTGATCTCTGCACACTTAAAGCTCTGCTGTGAAGAATACATGTAATAGAAATGAATTGTTAACCAAGTAAGCAAACTCTGCAATGAGAGTGAGTGGAGGATTGATTTTTAGTTACACTGGAAGTTTTCACAAAGCTGCAGATTGCTGGCCTGATGAGGTCGCTTCTCATTCCATTCCCAGTTCTGTAGAGGAGGATTTGTATGGCTCGGTGTCAGACCTCTGTGAGTCAAAAATGCTTGTGGAGAAAATGAGCATCAGAAAAACGCTTACTTTACTTTTTAGCTTTTTTTTCATGCAGTTTAATTGCTGAAAATAAGGTGGAATTGGGAGTACAAGACTATCTGCACTCTGTAGACAACCATGATGTTTTGATCCAAAAAGCACAGTTGGAAACCACTGGGTGAAGCAGGTGCCAGCTGTTTGCACCATATGGCACAGGATTTGTAATGCTTGCTGAGGTTTCCATCCCTGCAGAATTAGTCTCTTTTTGGCTTAAGGGGTAATATTTTCCAGGCAAGATCTGTCTCTTAAAGCCTATTTTTCACCAAATCTTTAGGAAGTGCATTGCAAATTTTCTATCAGCTACTCTGACAGCTGCTATGGTACACTGAACTGTCCAATTAGAGGCTTAAAGCCACAACAAAACTAACAAAAGTAGAACATGCTTTTCAGCTAAATGTGATGTTTTTATCATCTGTGAACATAGATACATTTCTTAGTGAGATATTCAAAGATATTTATGACAAAAAGAAGATAGTTACAGTACTATCCCACTTAGGGTTCTCTTTGCATGGTGTAATGCAAAATGGTGAACTGATTTTGGGTTAAATTCTTATGTTCAGTGTTATGATGCTGACTGTGAAAAAGTGTGGGTTTGTTTTTAGCAGAAATTACAAAATTGATCCATGATAAAGTACTGTTAGTACTCAAGTCATATTGGATGTGAAAAACTCCACAGCATCTCAGTCTTCCAACAGGATCTGTAAATGCACATCCCTCATGGTGTCATGAAGGATTTTGTTACTACTCTAGCTGATAAGGTTGATAGAACAGGGTTAGTTCTTTACAGAGGCCTTTAACTTATACTCAGCCACAGCAGTGGCTTAACAGGTGGCTAAACACTGTCCCTAGGAGTGATACTTCCAGAGAAAGCTGGGACAACACAAAGCCTGGTGACTATAATTCGTGGTCAGTATGGGAATGAAATCAGAGGCATCTGGACTTACAAGTTTGTAGGACCAATTGTCCATTATCCATATAATTAAACATCTTCTTAATAGCATGAAAAGTATGTTCAGAATCCTTAAAAAGCGAGTTGAGTGATTCTTGGGTAAATAGTGTACTTTGGCTTGAGGAAGTCCCAAGATGACATTATTGCATGGTAAACTGTTGAGTTCATTTTCGTTTCTTACTCTAAGTAATTAACCACATAAAACATCTATTTCTTTAACATCTGTTTTATGCAAAGTTGGGATGCAGCTTATCTTTTGAATGTATAACTGTTAAGGGACTAGTACATGATAAAGACCTCTATGTTTCACTACTGCAAATATTAAAGCACAAAAATAGTCTCTTCATATGGCTTGGACTGTCCTGTGGGAGCTTTAAGAATTTTATCTTTAATTATTGAGTAATTATGCTGTTAATGACAAGAGGCGAGGGATTTTGAATGGCATATATCATCTTTATATATAAGTGTTTTAACTTCCAATTTTGTCTGAATTTTGCTGTGCTCATATAAGACTTCTAGAAAATAGAAATGTTTTCTGTGTATTTAAATGTTTAACTTTATTTTCATGTTAGAATCTGAGTTGCAAGAATGCTGGAATGAGGGTACTTATACCCTAAATCCCAATATAAAGATTATATATATTTTTAATTATTTTTTAGTTCCTAAGGGAATATTATCTCAAGTTTTGCAGGTATTTGTTAAGAAAAAAAAATCACAAAATACATATTTAACTGTGGCATTTGTTAGACTTTAATTTCTTTAATTCACATTTAAAAATTGAAGATTATATACAGAGGAAATTACAATCTTTGAAGTAAAAATAAAATATTTTTCCAATGAAGGTAATGGAATTGGCCAGACAATTGTACTTGGTCAAGTAACTCAGAGTTTAAGCTTTTCTCCCACTTTGGGTACTGGAAGAAAAATCTGTACTTCCAAATATCCTTTGCAAGAGTTCTAAAAATAAGACAGAATATAATCCAAGATTAACTAAATAACCTTTTAATTGAGGAGTATTTTTTTAACATTTCATAAAAATATGCTCAAATTCATATCCAGAATCAGACAGAAGGATTTTAAAATCTGTCTCCTACATTCCAGGTGATTACAGTTCTCTTTGGGGGTGTAAGCAGTTTTTATTCACTGCCATTATTCTACTTATATAAGTATACAAGATGGACTATTAAAAAAACACAACAAAAAAAACACTTATACTAAGGAACTCTTACACCCCCATGCATGTATCTTTGCCACAAGACTGAGTGCATTATTTTTTCTCACCTCAATTTTCACCTCTGATTTGAGAAGTGTTTTGATCAAAAAATGTCTGCACTTTTAAAACCATTTCTAGCACTTAATGATTGGAATGAGAACCTAAAACAGTTGCCATTGGTTGTGCTTGCAGACTAAAGCAAAAAAGGAAGCATTTAAGATTTGTTATTTGCATGTGGATACATATTCAAC